GTGTGTCGTGTGTCGTGTGTGTGTGTGTGTGTGTGTGTGTGTGTGTGTGTGTCGTGTGTGTGTGTGTGTCTGTGTGTGTGTGTGTGTGTGTTGTGTGTGTGTGTGTTGTGTGTGTGTGTGTTGTGTGTGTGTGTGTGTGCATTTGGACGGCTTGGTCTGATGCGCTTGAGCTTCCCATAACTCTGCCTCAACCCCAAACACACTCCCATCACCACCACCACCACTCCCACCCCCCACCCTCGCTGTCCCTCGTGTCAGGGCTGCGCGTGTTGAAGCCGACGTTGCAGCGGACGTACTGCTGCGATCCGTTTCCGAGCATCGAGAAGGTGCACCGCATCAACATGCCCGTCCTCATCTTCCACGGCAAGAAGGTAGTCAGTCTCGCACGCGCACGCACACATGAGGTGGCATGATACCAGTCATTGGGATGAGAAGCGAATGCACGGCGTGTTTGTGTGTTTGCACTTGTAGATCATCAAACACGTGGCTCGTCCGCTTTCCCGCAACTCATGACAACTCCCCTCACCCCATTCACCATTCACCATTACCATCACCATCGCCAACACCACCATCTTTGTGCGGCAGGACCAAGTCATCCACTTCAGCCACGGGTATGCACTGCATGAGCGCTGTCCGGGCTCTGCAAATCCCGTGTGGATCGACAGTGCCGACCACAACGACATTGAGATGTATCCGCAGTACATTGACAACCTCGCCATCTTCCTCGATCAGATCAGACACAGCTCCAGCGACTCTGTTGTCGTCTAGCAGTTGGTTGGGTGTGTGTCTCTGTGCAAGTACATGTGCCTCTGTGTGTGTGTGTCTGCGTGTGCGTGTGTTTGTGTCTATCTGTGTGTTGTCTGTCTGTCGAAGGCTGTTCACACACACACACACACTCTCTCTCTACCTCTCTTCCTCTCCTCGCTGCAATTGCTTTGCTTGCTTTTGCTCGTCGGCCATGTTCTGATCGTGTTACAGCTATTCGGTGCTTGTCTGTTTCTGTTGTTTCATCCCTGCCGATTGATCGATTGCTCTTGCTTGCTCGCATGCGTGTAAACTTCGTTTATGCTCCTGACTGTGTACATGCGCCATGCTTCCTGCCTCGAACACACGAATGGAATTAACAGTACGCGCCTTCGTAACCGCACAAAACGCGGGCCAAATGGCACTCTCAAAAGACAAAACCGACGACCACACACACACACACACACACACACACACACACACACACACACACACACACACACACACACACACACACAAGAGCATACACACACACACACACCACACAAGCATATGTGGAGTCACCAGCCGCTGTCGCTTGAGTCCTGACCGGAATCGGGGTCCTCTTCCGGCAGGTCCTCCGACCAATCGCTGTGCAGCTGCGCCTGCGCCTCTGCAGTTCGCTCCACGTGCTCCTCAATGCTTGCAAGCACCGTCCGCAGTACGCTCACTGCGCGCCGCGTCACCACCCCAAAGCGAGCCTTCACTTCACAGTGTTCTTCGTCGCCGTCCTCCTTCTCCTCGCTTTTCTTCGCTCGTTTGGTCGCAGGAGCGCCATCACCATCGCCGCCTGATTCTCCGCTTCTCAAGTCACCACCACCACCACCAAGCGCATCATCATGATGATCATCGTCATGATCATCGTCGTCGTCGGCACGATCCACCTCCTGCTGCTCCTCGTCATCTTCGCTGTCGACATCGGCGGGGCGCTGGGGCTGAAACTCGCCATCACCATCGTCACCGCCCCCTTCATCGTCGTCTTCGTCGACGCCCGCCAGCAGAAGCTTGAACAGCGACTCCTCCTCTGCTGTTGGCGTTGGCACTGGCACCGTGCCAGCCGACTCACCGTCTTCATCGCCATCGCCAGCATCTTCATCTGTTGCTCTTAACGCTTCTTCTTCTTCTTCTTCTTCTTCTTCTTCTTCTTCTTCTTCTTCTTCTTCTTCTTCTTCCTCCTCCTCCAGCTCCTCTTCAATAAACTCATATTTCACGCCTGGTCTACCCGTGTCGTGTTGATCATCATCGCCCTCGTCATCTGTTATTTCCACAATCTCTTCAATCACCTCCTCCTCAATCACCTCCTCCTCCTCCTCCCCCTCTTCTCCCTCGACATGCTCTTCAGTCTTGAGTTGGAGGGCGCCCGTGTCAGCTTCATCGTCGTTGTCGTCGCTGTCGTCCATGACACCGTCATCATCCTCTTCTTCTCCCTCCGCACCCGCTTGCTGTGCATCCGAGAGCACGTTCGCATTGCTACCGTCACTGGCACCGCCATTACTGCCATCATCACCATTGCCGTCATCACCAGCTTCAACATCGTCATAATCAACGTCAACGTCATCGCCATCATCATTTTCATCAGCATCCAGCTTGAGCTTCGTCTTGCCAATTGTGCGATAGTCCAGGCACAGGTGTTGCGGCGTGTTACCTGCTGCCCCCTGGCCCCACTGGTTCCACACAGACGCGGGCGCCTGTGCCATCGCATCGTCCTCGTACACGC